CAATAAATTGTTCAACGTGTGAGTAAGACTGAGCAGATTATGTTTAGAATACGCAAAACTTACGCATGGAACTCTAATCTCTAAAATTGCCTTTCCTAACTGCGAACTGTGTGACATACAACTCACAGTTCAACACTTTATGGTGCAATATCCAAAATATCAAACTAAATGATCAAACAATGACTTAAATAATGATCTAAAACTAGTTGTAGATGAAAATTGTAATATTATAACCATTATTTTTGGGTACTCAAGCGCAGGGCCGCCGAGAGCCAGGTCGGGCCCCAGGAAAATTCTCCAGATCGGGCCCCGCTACAATTTTATAAAAAAATAAACAAAAAGGTTTTCAAGCAAAAATTTCTCCTCCTCTACTTGAATTTCTCTAAAAAAAAGGTCTTTAAGCAAAAATTTCTCCGTCTCTACTTAAATTTCTCTAAAAAAAAAAAGGTATTCCACCAATAACTTCTCCCCTCTTGTGTCGAACTTCTGAAAGTAACAAAAAAATCCTCGCCACAGTTGCCGGACTCCCATTTGAGCCCGGGCCACGGGAATTATTCCTTGCTGCCCCCCCTCTTGTCGGCCCTGCTCAAGCGACATAAACCTTTTTTTTCCAAAATATAACTATGTCGCTAGTAACCCCAGAGTTTGAAGTGACTTTTTGTAAAAAAATAAAAAGAATTATATGTACCGTAGAAGAACTAGTTTCAAAAATTAATATCTTACTGCAGAATGACGGTCCAGATTATGGAATACCGCTATTACTGCTAAAGAGTTGCTATCACTTGCTTTTTTATTGCTAATTTCTAATCTAGTCTAGTCTAGTTTTCCAAAAATCCTTTAATAGCAGAATATTTCCCACAGTTTGAAGATTCTTTAACTTAGTACCAACTTATAAAAAGGGCGACAAATCTAGCATCAAAAACTTGGAGAGATCTTTTTAAATTTCCTCATAGCTATATTATTCGAATGTATTCCGACTGATAAAGTTTTATAAACCGCTACAAATATTACTATATACCAGGATTACTTAATTTTATCAGTCAAAACGGGTCATCAAGTCGATGCAGACGTATGTAAAGCATTCGATGTCTGTCGTAAGTTGCTAGATCAAAACCTTTCTCAAATTGGCATCTGACACAGATTAACTCTTACTTAACAGAACGCTCTCAGCGTATTTTGATTCATAATTCAGTCTCTTGTAATATTATATGAGGTACGTCTGGTGTTCCTCAAGGTTCCCACGTTGGTTTCATTCTATTTCTATTGTTTATAAACGTGGTAATAAATTGTATAAAGACCATAATAACGTTGTAAACCATTTCATTCACTGGTGCAAAATCAATCGTTTATTTCTAAACTTTAGCAAATGTGCTACGATCCACTTATTATTACAAGATCCCTCAAGAGTATCAAAAATGTTTATAGAGTAGATGATATATTAAATGGAGCCTCATCTATTGATGATCTTGGCATCTTAACCAACATGTCAAATCAAACGAATGCAAAGCATTTAGAACACTCGGCTTCATCAAACACCACACTCATTACATTTATGAAACCAAGGCCATTAAGTCCCTTTAAAATTGTGTGTTTCGAAGCATTGTTGAATAATGTACTGTAGTCTGGATGCATTCTACACAGGCTACATTAACAGATCAGCAAAGAGAATTTGTATTTCGTACAAAATTGTTTTATTTAAAAATACAAAGCGCTTTCGGCATAACTGTCCGTCACAAAGACTTCTAAAAAGTGTAACCTCTTTTGGTTCCTTTAAACACATTAATAGAATTGAATGGGTACAGTGAAACGTGCTCAAGCTTCTCTTTAAGTTTCTTTTTCCATACCAGAATACTTTACGAAACTCATTTACTATATTGTGATATGTAATCACGAAATAAGAAGAAAATATCTTCTTTTGGTCAAAATAACCGAATCGTGCGACATTTATCTAAAGAAAAATACCCAGTCCTCTCCTGCGATAAATATCCATCAGAATGAAGGGTAAATTGACGATATGTACTTTTTTTAATAAAACGTTTAGTATTTATTTTATAAGTTGGGATTTCATTATTTTTTTCGGATTTTTAAAGAAATATCCGGAATTTTTATTATGTATGCCAGGAAATTTTATTTTTAAACCCTACATTAGATAACATTGACTAACTATGGGCAAAAAGCATTCTCGTATTTACCTAAACTAAAATACATTTTACCTTGAACGCGAAATTTTCAATATAAGCTTGCCAGCCCTTAAAAGAACTCTCAAATTTGGCTGCGAATGACTCTTTGCTTAACTTTTTGTGTTTTTAATGTCTTCAAACAATATGTATTAATAACGTTATCATCATGTAAGTACAGTTTTAGAGATTATCTCGCACCGATCGAGTGCAGTTGTCCATCTCTTATTGAAAACGCGATACTTACTACCATTTCTGTGGCTTATTAAGATGAAATATTTGACAGCCGAGGCTAAACAAACACCCATTATTGTAGTATCCTCGGCGGGCCGAAAGACGAAGAGGACAAGCACACTAGAACGAGGAAACAACGCAACGGTCAAATCAAATAAGAATTGAAATGCACGAACGATGAAGAAGAAGTCTTTGTGATCTAAAAATACCAGGTTGTTTGGTAAAAGAGTGGACTGGTATTCTATCGCCTTGCCGCTAGAGGTCAAAAGTCAAAATCTGGGTCAGCAAATGGCTCTGAGACCCACTGATAGAACGGAATCATCGCGATGGATGATTATTGATGGTCAAACGAGAAGGATTAGTACGGAGTATAACAAAAAGTGCACGGATCTAGGTATAAAACAAAATAATATGATTTTACTGATTAGTAAAATGGGTAATGAAAGCAAAAAATGTTTTCTTTCTACGATTTACTCAATTTATTCAAGAACAGATTAGGTTCAGTCAGACTTTTTCAAAATGAATCAAAGCATTTTAAACTGAATCAAAAATTGACGTATAAATATTTTTTGTTTCCAGGGGCGCATATATGGGGGGGGGGGTAATGAGGGTAATTACCCCCCAAGAATGTTTAAACCTAACTTTTTATAGATACTAAAAATGTATTGCACAAACTATTGAAAGACCAATTGCAGTATTTTTTGTTTAATCTGGCAGAAGCGCTTTTTTTTATTTTCGTCGGCTGTCCGCCACTCAAAGCGCCTAACTTAGGTTCCCACTCTACGTTGTACGTGCTTGTATCTTAGAATCTCACTCTTTCTTCGACTAATAATGCTTATATAATTTTGTTTTTATTTTGATTTTTACTGGAAGTACTGGATACTGGATCACCAAAGTGATAGTGATACTAAAGTGGATACACTGTTTTCATGTAAGGGTTTTACTTTACAGGTATTTTAATGAAGTTTAGTAATTTAGATTTAAGTTTATATGATTATAATATCTAAAATTTACCATTGTTGCAAATTATTTTAATTCTTGCACTTGCAGATACTAAACACAACAGAAATTAGCAATGAGTAAGAGAAAACAGAATACCTTAGATAATTATTTGTTAAAACTAAATTAAAATAAGGGAATAATAACCTCGGAAGTCGTGAATTTATCACCAGTCGGGGAACCTTCTGAGGAAGCGGGTTCGAGTTCGAGTATGGGTAAACAAACCGCCGAAACTAGCGCCGGTAGCAGCAGTGACCACACAGCGTCGCCACATTTAATATTTTACATGGTTATAAAAAATCGATAGACATTGCCCCTTTTGTCAATACATCTAAAATAATTACATTGCGGGAAAAATATTCGGTTTTAATGTACTCTATGGTTCCGGATCAAAATTTTACGTACCCGTTTTCAATTCACAGAATTAAATATTAAATGCTTTTTATCAAAACGACATTTTGACACTTTTTCTTGGCTAACATATTCGCAAGGTCTAGAGGGTATATTTTGTAAATTTTGCGTTATTTTTTCAAAAGTGGGTGGTGTACATCAGTCAACTAAGTTGGGACGTCTTGTTACCACTCCACTAAATAAGTATTCCAAACTATTCGGAAAAGATGGCGATTTGATAATGCATGATAAATCGGTCTATCATAGTAAAGCTGTTACAGAGGGACATAATTTAATTAAAATTTATGAACACTCAGAGATAGATGTAAGAAATATATTAGATCAAGAAAGACAAAGGCAGATTTTAGAAAATAAACTTAGATTGAAACCCATTATCGAGTCGTTAGTGTAGCTTCAGCTGAAAGAAACTTCTCCTCTCTGCGGCGCCTTAAAACCTGGCTTCGTTCAACAATGGGTCAGGATAGATTAGTTGGGCTATCACTTCTGTTTATACACAGAGACATTCAAGTAAATGTAGACCATATTATAAATAGGTTTGCAAATAATAAAAATAGACGACTTGATTTTACGTTATAATTTTTTTTTTGTTTTCTGGTCATGCGAGTATGTTATGCCCAAGAAAATATTTTTGTTTGTTTTTGTTATGTTTTCATTTATAAGCTTTTGTGTTATTAATGTTTTTAAAATGTGTTTAATATTTATTATACATGTAAAAGTTGTTCTTTTTAAATTTACTTGTATTATATGTTAAACTCTGGATGCGCCACTGTTTGTTACGACCATACTTTAAATTTTTTATTAAATGTGCGCTAGCCGTCTTATACAGTATGGCCCAAAATAAACAGTACTGAACTTATAATTCCTTTATTTAAGAAATACGTATCATGTGGACCTGCTCTTTGAAAGTTCGAAAGATCTTTCATTTATTGATGGTTTATGGTGTATTTTTAAAAACTGCTTCTTTGGTCATCTGTCTGAAAAGGGCAGCTCCAGAGGGCGAGCCTACGAGTTTTAAATGTTTACAAAATATTAGCTGGAAAGACTACATAAATTAAGGTAAATTTTGTTTAAACTTTACAGAGTAAATGAAAATTATAATAAACATTTTTTTCTTCTGTTTAATTTAGATGGTCCGTGCGTGCTGTACTTGGTGATAGTAACGTAACAAAACGATCCGCAATGCACTTAGACCTGAAAGACGAAAAGTGGTCGCTTATGGAAGAAATTTTACCTACGCTTAACCTTCTAAAAATCGCTAATACATTAGTTTGTGGAGAAAAGTATGTTACCATATCGGATGTTTTAAGTATTGTAGTGGCACTTTTTGACAAATTTTCAAACGACTCTGAAGACGACAGCGCTGTTTTAAAAAACTTTAAAAATGCTTTAATAACCGGATTAAATACACGTTTTATAAACAAAATTGAGGAAAGTAATAACCTATATCTAAAGACCATGGCAGTTGATCCGAGATTTAAAGATATAAATTTTTTTTTCGTCACTTTTGAGTTGCGTCAAAAAATTTATGCAGATATTTGCGAAGAAATTAAATCTAATAAAAATCGGGAACAGCCACATTTAGACCCAGAATACAAGAATGCAGAAGTCGGGGAAGAGAAGAAACAAAAACAGCGGTGTGAAGAAAAAATGAAGACCAACAAAAAAGAACTTCAGGAATTATTTGGTAATTTTTAATTATTAATGCAGTTGAATTACTAATTTAATATGTACTTTCGCTTATTTAGGTTCTATTTCAGAGAGTGAAGAGCAGGTATAGGATGATGAATACGAGCGGTTTCTTGCGGCAAAGAAAATTAAAAGGAGCGACGATCCCATTTCGTGGTGGCAAGTGAATGAAAAGAAATTTCCGGCTACAGCTTTTGTAGCCAAACGATATTTGGGAATACCTGCCACTTCAGTTGCGAGTGAGCGTCACTTTTCCGCCGCGGGTCAAATCGTTACCACAAACAGAGCTCGTTTAAATCCCGAATTTTCTACAAAACTACTTTTTGTTAACAGGAATTGAGTGTATGCAGAATGCAAATAACATAACTAGGGTACTACATTACATTCTTACTTCTTAGATTTGTTTGTTTTGTGTATACTGTATAGATGTAGAATATTATATTTACGTTTGTGTCTTCATGGATATTAAATATTTATTTTCAATGATTGTGGAAATTATTACCTCGAATTAAAAACAAATGAAGCAGGTCTAAAGCTCTATAGATAAAAAAAGATAGAGTTTAACGGGTCTTAAATTCTTAAATAATTATTAAAGGGCCTTAACGGGCTAACGGTTCGTAACGGGTTCTAATGGGTAACTGGTAGCAAAATGTATAACCCGGACTCGTGGGCGTAACGGGTACCCGGGTACTCGGGTACTCGTCGTCATTCCTAGTTTGAACAACAAGGCTGGATACGGACAATCTACTTGAGTTGTACAGTATATTTTTTCTACGATCCACTAACAAAAATCTACATATTTTAAAAATCATTTTAAATTATTAAGACAAAATAACTAATTTTAAAATAATTTATAACACTAATTTATAAAATAAAATAAGCATGATAAAAAAATGTAATTTAATTAATCCCTAGCCCAGATTTGAAACCGGGCCTTTCGCATAAATTCCAGATGCTCTAGTCTCTGCTCTATCGCCAAACATAACAATTTAGTCATAATAGTTGTAAATAAATTGATTTCATATAGTTTTATTTAAATGTATGGTTCAATTGTTAATTTATACGAAATAAAAATAGAAGTGCTATTATTTATCTATTCTACACGAGAATAGCTCAATAATTACAAAATATACTGACAGTTAATTTAACAGAATTGTCATTTATTTATAATATAAAAAATAATGGTAGCCGGGTGACCAAAATATGAACTGCGATTGGTGAATTTAATTTTTTTGCAGTGTTCTTACTATGTAGAATGGATATGAAATATATTCGTTCAGTTGAACTTTTCGTTTTGTAGTCTGTGCGTGGATAAGCTAATATCCATGTGAATAAAGAAAAACTCTTATATCAAATTTTTGGGTATGATTGTGTAGTTTTTGAACATCTGCGTAAAAGATATTAACTAAACTAATATTAATTTCTGAACAATTTTACTCTCTCTGGTTCTTGATAGCTCAGTTCTTTAAGGAGCGTAATTTTGTAAGGTTATAGAGAATGGTGTGAAGGTTCAAATCCCCGATTCGCTTCAGTAATAATTCTTTTTTTATACAACTTTGTTTTTATAAAATTTTACATTTTTTTGTTAGACAGTTTCTATTTTTTACATACAATAAGAGTAGAAAAAATAGTTTATTACATTACGAGTGTGGAAAGAGACATAATCCCAGTGCGAAAATCACACGAAGGATGTATATGTGATGTACAATATTTTCCCTAAGACCACAAAATAATTTCAACAACAAAATATAAAACCAAACTAAATTATAATATAAATATCAATAACATCAAGAATAATTCAGACATGAGAAATTCCACAAAATTAATTTTACAAATCAAAACTTAAATATTGATCAAAATTAATAGTAATTATTATAAATAAAGTGTATAATGCTTGATATAGTTTACGTTATTGTTGTTGAAACATGTATCAAATAAATTAATAGTTAAAGTACTTATTTAAAGTTGTCGTAGAAAAAATAGTGTATGTAACTCTCATGTAATAACTTACATGATCTTTGCAAAATATAATATTAAAAATATCTGCTCCATTTTAGAAATTTTCCAACTGGTTTTCCTTTTATCTTTATCTCCTTTGAAGCTTTAATCTTTTTCTAATCCACCATATTCACCTGATTCAGCACCCAGTGACTTATCTTTATTCTCCAATTTCTAAATATAGTTCACGAGTAAAAAAAATAAACAGTAACAAGTTTTAAATAAAAGTTATATGGATATAAAATTAGCGTTTTTTAAAAATATTTTTCAAAAATAATGAATTGCTTGGCAAAACTGTAATATATATTTTTTAATTTTCTAGGGTAGAATACAGTATTATCAAACCGTTCTAAAAATAAAATAAAATGCAAGGTCTTCTATTTAAAAAATAAATTTTTATTTGCCAGGCAAAAACGCAACACGCTGTATATCCAAAAATATTTTTTTTAATATATATTTTTCAAATCCATACAACTTTTATTTGAAACTTGTTTGCGTGTCTCTAACACAAATTGTAATATTGAACAATAACGCACTAATGGGACACCCTTATTTATATTATAATGGGACCCTGTATTATCGATGATTATTCATAAATAATAATATCCATAGCTAAATTAAGATCGTAGTGGGAAATAGTCAAATATTTACTCAAAACAAATCCTATAATTTTAGAACTAGTCTTACTAGGTAATTTGCTTCAAAGATTTCATAATGTCAAAGAGTTGTGAAGGGTCTTTTCATATTACAGAAAATTTATGGAAATAACAACCGTGTAGTAACTTTTTATTTTCAAATATACTTTAGGTAAACATATCGAACCTCTTCTAGAAATCCACCTTTCCTAACCAAGCAGGTGTTATCCGTAGCTCCTACCCATAAAGCTTGTATCTAAACTTGTTCTTGTTCCACCTGAAGACCTGCAATTTACAATCATAAAACCTACCAACTGTTGCTGCCTGAGCCTTTACCAGACCATGAAAAGTCGTTATAAAACAGTATCAACACTCAAAACATTAAAAAAATGCAAAATTGAATGTAATGGTCGCCAAGCACGAGCCATATGTTGGTATCACTGGACCATCGGTATGATAAACAGTCTAGGTTGGCCATGCGCAACCACACACGTGCCGTGTTGGTGACAGGTGACACCTGGCACGCGCATGCGTGTTTCGGGCACGCGGAATTTAGGGTAGCGGTGTGGGTAGTGACCGGAAAAATTACGAAGGTGAATTTTATCAGAAAATTTAAAATACCTATTAATTTAAAAGAGTTTATTATGAATTACGGGGCACAATATATTTTTATCTGATATTTCTGCCTATTGGCTGAATTTTTATTTCATCAAAGACAATTAATTGGTATATAGAATGTTTTTTTTTTCAAGTACGTAATTGACCACTATCGAATATAACAGTGGTATAAAATGAGAAAGATGAAAGGTTTGATTCCTGTGGGACGTTTCCTTTAGTCTATTATTGGCAAACTCTTTTTTGTTATTAACAAATTAATTATTACAGCGATTAATAACAAAAAAATTATTCACAATTTTATTATAGTTGTCCCATGAAAATGTATAATAAAAATATTTCATAAATTATAGAAAACAATGATGAAATTATAAATATACCTCTAATTAATGAACCCCAGAACTTTGGAAGAAGTAAAAAAATGATATTTTAAAAAATATTCTTGGTAGTCCATCAAATATTTTTTCGATAAATGCTAGAAAGGCTTTAATTTTTCTAATTCCAAACAAATTTTCTTATTAATAACAATTTTCAAAATATATTATCTACAATGAAAGTGGCAAATTTAAAATATATCTGCTGAAATGTTTCTAGTTTAGTTGTTTGAGTATTTTATTATAAATTGGGCTTCAAATAACACATCTGTATTTAAGTTTAGATCGAACAAAAACTGAGAATAGCAAATACATTTTATGAAACTCTCTGAAATCTTTTATGTTCCTAGTCAGAAACCGCAAAATTTAAAATCCTAAAAGATGATACAGTCTTCTCAACATGAGCACCGAATTTTACTTCCGAATCTTAGTAGACACCGAGATCTTTAAACAATTCAAGCCTTGGTAGTATATAAGATATAATTTATGTTCCTATATATTTAAAATTACCCCTCTAATTATTGTTGGTCATACAACTCTCTCACTTTGTGTGATTTTTTGTATCATTTTTTTTTTGTCGAATAAGATATATTTATTTTAACAAATAAAAAATGTACTCATTTTAAGAACAACCCTGTATTTATACGATCAGCTATTTTAAAGATATCAACAATATTAATTTCCCAATTCGTCATACGTCTAACAAACAGCTTGTAGCTAGTTTTCTTCTACGTGTTACTTTAAAAATGTATTAGTACAATAGTTCCCTTTTTTCACCCTCATATTGTCAGCTAACGCGTATTTTCACGCACCTGTTCCTCTTATTATTCATGTAAAACTCAACTAAAGTTAGAAATAATTGCGGCACACTCCACTGATGACACCGTAGATGCAATATGGCCGACACGCGTCAGTAAAAAACCGGAAATGCCAATGCATATCCGCACGAGCGCAATTACCGGCCCAAGATCTATCGGCATTTCTAATGAAATCGTTCACCCCTATGGTTAAATACAAATAGTTTTGAAAGTAATACTACTCGTATTATTTCTGAGTAATGGTGAATGGTAAACATTTTCTATTTTTTATGCATTAACGAAAATTAACAAATTAATCGACTTATTTTAAGGAAGACTAATTATAATTTTCCGAGCTTGTCCGTAGATATCATTATTATATTGTAGTTTCCTTGAAACATACTCACCAGCACGTATTTTTTTTAGAGTAAATAAAATGAGGCATATTCACTGCTTCTAATAGTATACCAAACTTTTGTATATCATTCCTTTGAAGTGCGAGTTACGAAAATCATCTAATATCTGGGAACTAAATATGTATCCACATATATTAGGGTGGGATGGGAAATAATTATATCTATGGACAAGCTCGATAAATCGGAAAATTATAATTACTCTTCCTTAAGGTAAGTCGATTATTTTTTAATTTTCCTTCGCTTGTCCTTGATATAATTATTACATTGTAGGTGTTCAGGGTAAAAAAAGATGATTTTCTGAATAATTATTTACATTAACATTAGAAACGTAATTAAACAAACGAATATTTACATTTATAGCTAATTTAGTAACTACTTACTAGCTAAAAAGTGAATGAGATTAATAAAATTATTGTATGATCACAATGATCACATTTTAAGAATAATTGATTTAATTTCCAAATCAATAATAGTGTTAACAAATGTGTCATTGCGTTCTTTTATTGATTTATTACAAAATTTTAAAAATGTTTTAGAAGAAGATGTCTAACGTGCAATATTTCTTATCTGTTCAATACTTACACCTACCCTAAACACAGCAGATGTTAATGCGTGGCGTACACTTGTCAGTATGAGATGTTGCTCCTTATTACGAGACGATTGTGTTTCCCATCTTTATTCTATCAGATATTTTAATTTCTATCCCTTTTAATGATATATTGGAGTTTAATCAAGGAAGAGTCTGTACTCTGTTGGCTGATGTTAAGTAAAGCCATAAGAG